CTCCATTTTTTTTTTTTACTAGAGCTGTGATTCCATTGGTATAGGGAAATCCCAATAATGAAGCTCCTACCAATGCAGATTGCCACCTGCTCTGCAGCTTTTAGAGAGTTGCCTGGTGCACTGAGGCAAGGTGGTTTATCACCAAGAGAGTAGACTTCTGAAGCAGGACTTAAAGGCTGGCATCAATATTACTTACATGCAGTTCCTGGCAAAAAATTCAATTTGCCTGTCTTATAGGTCAGGCTAGTCTAATGTTTCAGGTCTGGGATTGGAAGGAAATGAGGTGTGTAGATCATCTAGCAATTAATAAAAGGAGGCTTAATTAGCCATGTAATGGAAAGGATACTCAGCAAGGATACAGCACTGGTTCAGGTAGATGTGACCCACCTCATTTCTATCAAGAAAATGGTTTGCTGAGCAGAATATGTAGTAACCTTCATGGCAATTTGCCACATGTGTTAAGTTTGAGTCCATGTTCCCTTCGACACTAAATATACTAGTAGGAGATTGTCACACATTTGCGGGGTGGTGGAGTGAGGGCAGTAAAGAGAAGAGAGGAAATTTTTTTAAGCAACTTGATCTTTTTTTAACCAATATGATCTAAGTAAATATCCCTTTCAAACAGCCCATTGAATCTAGCTGACTGATTTTATCAACTGACAACCATAGTGGGAAGCACACTGGTAGGGACTTATGAGCTATAATATCTCTAAAACCCCAAAGGAAAATTTAGTAGCATACCATTGGGCACCTGATCTATCAGTGCAAATAGGAGTTGTTAAAGTAAGTTTAGAGATTTTGCTACATCATCTTAGCTAATTTGATGGGCATAAGATAAAATCACAGAACTGACTTAATTTGCATTTCTCTTATTAGTGATTTGGAGTAATCTTTCATATGGTTAGAAATCATTTGTATTATATTTGTACTGTTTATTCTTTGATTACTTTTCTCTTGGGGAGGTGGGCACTTGTTCTTAACATTTGTGTGAATTCCCTTTATCTTAGATATCTTGATTTTAGTCAGAGATGTTTAGTGTAGAGATTGTTTTCCCAAGTGATAGTTTCTCTTTTTACTTTTTCTTGGTTTTCCTGGATAGTTTTACTTTCGTTCTTTTACATGAATTTTGTTACATTTTGTCTAGTTATATAAATATGTGACTGGTATTTTGATATGTACCATTGCATTTTTAGGGGTGTGCTAGGGAGGACAGATTTCAGCAACCTGGCTGAAAGAATGTTGGTTGAGTCAGAAAACTGTGTTCTAGTTCCTGCCCTGAAACTAACTTTGGGTCTCTGTTTCGTTCTTTGTAAAAATAAGGAGGTTGGACAACAGAATGTCTTTCAGCTCCAACAGTCTGTCTGTCTATGGGATTTGTCACTTAGCCTCTCTGAAGCCTCAGTTCCCATCTCTGTAACATCAAGGAGTTGAATGAGATGATCTCTAAGGTTCCTTCCAGCGAGATTCCTTTCACCTCTCTTCTCCAAAAGTACCTAAGTATTTGCATCCCCACATCCTTACTCAGGCTTTTTGGATGCCAGTTATAAACAACTTACCTTACTTAGCACCTAGACAAGAATAATTCATTTAAAAAGTTACAAGAAGTTTCCTCGGGATGTGGGTGAGTATGTCCCACTCTCCCCTTCTCCTCTTCTAAAAGGCTGCTTTTCAGACTCTTGTCCTATGTATAGTTTATAGTGTTTGCCCCAGACGCAAAAGTTCCTAGTTGTGAATAAATTAGAGTGTAAGTTCCCCAAGGGCAAGGACTGTGTCTTATTGAAATTCGTATCTCTTCCAGTGCCTGGTAAGGTGCTGAATTTATTTTTCTGGTGATCAGCGTCATGGTCAACAGTCTATATAGTTAATAGAATAAATCTTCCCTTTTTGAAAATTGGGACATGTCTTTCTCTAGTCCTTTGACATCTCTTCTATTCAACATAGTTCCTCAAAAGTCACTTGTAGTTGTAGAACAGTAGAACTGGACACAAGAGTCCAAGTTTGAGTCTTAGCTCTGACAGACAATCATCATGGAATCTTGGGCAAGTCATTTCATCTCTGATGGAAAGTCTTCTGCATTTATAAAATGGAAATAGCAATACTTACACAACATACTTTATAGGCCTGTTGTTAGAATATATATATAAAGTACCCTCCTCCTTAATACTATCTTCTCTCTGTGTTTTAAGGACACTGCTCTCTCTAGGTTCTCTCTCTACCTGTGTCTACCTATCTCTCTACCTAGCTCTTCTCAGTCTCCTTTGCTGGATCTGCATCCAGATCTTGTCCTTTAACTGCAGGTATCGCTCAGGGTTCTGTCCTGGGCCCTCTTCTCTTCTCCCTCTATACCACTTCACTTGTTGATCTCATCAGCTCCCATGGGTCTAATTGCCATCTCTATGCTGATGATTCTCATATCTACGCATCTTGTTCCAAACTCTCTCTGATCTCACATCTCTCAAACTGTGTTTCAGACATCTTGAACTGGGTATCTGGTAGACATCTTAAACTCAACATATCCAAAACCGAATTCATTATCTTTCCCCCTAATCCTCCCTCCCTTTTACCTTCCCTGTTACTATGGAGGGTAACACCATTCTCCCGGTTCCTTAGGCTCACAACCTAGAAGTCATCTTCAACTCCTATCTCTCACCCTTCCATATCCAATCTGTTGCCAAAGCTGGGTCAATTTCACCTTTGCAACATCTCTAGAATATGCTCCTTTCTCTTCTGACATTGCCACCACTCTAGGGCAGACTCTTATTACCTCATGCCTGGACTATTACAATAGCCTGCTTCAAGTCTCTCCCCACTCCAGTTCATCCTCCATTCAGCCACTGAAGTGATTTTCCTAAAGCACGTGTCATTCCCTACCTCAGTAAACTCTCTTTTGCCTCCAATAAATTCCCAATGGCTCTTTCTATTGCCTCCAGTATCAAATACAGAATGCTCTGGCATTCACAGCCCTTCATAATCTAGCCCCTTCCTATCTTTCCAATCTTCTTACACTTTGCTTTCTGCCATATACTCCTTGATAAATACTCCTGGTTGTTCCATGAACAAGGCACTGCATGTCTCAGCTCCAAGTATTTTCTCTGGCTGTCCCTCATGCCTAGAACACTCTCCTCAATTCTGCCTACTGGCTTCTTTTAAGTCTGAACTAAAATCCCATCTTCTTCAGGAAGCCTTTCCCAAATCCTCTTAATTCCAGTGCCTTCCCTCTGTTATTTCCTATTTATCCTGCTTATAGTATATTTGTGTGTATTTTTTTGAATGTTTTCTCCATTAGATTGTGAGCCCCTTTGGGGGCAGGGATTGGCTTTTGCCTTTTTTATCTCCAGCACTTAGCATAGGACCTGGCACATAATAGGTATCAAGGCGGTGCTGTTGATAAAGTGCTGGCCTGTAGTCAGAACTGAGTTCAAATCCAGCCTCAAACACTTACTAGCTTTGTGACCCTAGGCAAGTCACTTAACCCTGTTTGCCTCAGTTTCCTCATCTATAAAATGAGCTGGAGAAGGAAATGGCAAACCACTCCAATATCTTTGCCAAGAAAACCCCAAATAGGGTAACAAAGAGTCAGACACAGCTGAAAAATGAATGAACAACAACAACAGCAATAAATGTTTATTGATTATCAGTTCTTCCAGTGTCCTGATATGTTTCACCATGAGACCTGAAGTCATAGGTTCAGAGCATGAAAAGAACTCAACAGCTTTTGAGTCCAATTCCCTCATTTTAAAGATGAGGAAACAGAGACCTTAGAGACATGAAGTAACTTGCTTCAGACCCAGAGCCCTCTTTACTGTAAATCATTGAAAACCATTCTTATTAGATAAAATGGAAGCAACATAGAGATTCTATTTTCTCTCCATCATCTATTTATCATGATACCAACTCAGTCAAGAAACATTTACTAAGCATCTTCTATGTGTCAGGCACTGTGCTAAGCACTGGGGATACAAAGAAAGGGAAAAGACAGTCCCTACTTACAGTGGTCACAGTGTGTTGCTTTAACCTGCACTCACATTTACAGGCTGAGTCACAATAGGGTGTCAGAAATCTCTCCCACTCTTTAGCTTCCAAGCTACTCAAAAGGCCCCTCCCACCACCACACCCTCCCCCCAACCTCCTTTGGCTTAGCTAAGTTTTATGTTCCACAAGTTGCCCTGTTCCCTTCTGGACCCATCAGAGCAATGTTTACATCTCATAAAGGAATCACATTCTGTGCATTAATTGAGCTGGGTAGTGGGAAAGGAAATACCATGTTGCCCGCTCCCCGCCATGCAAACAACATGTCTGTCCCATTTTTCTTGCCTTGAAAAGGAAAACAAACAAACAAAACAGTCCTTTTTGTTACTCTTAGTATTTTTTCAGATATCTGTGCTCTTTCTGACCTTTAGCCTCCTCTGAGACTGTCTTTACAGATCTGGGTCTTTCTTACCTACTTTATTTGTTCTTGGCTATTTGCTCTTGTCTTCCATCTTTTATCCAGATCGTTTTGAGTTTATCTGAGCTCAAAGTAGCTGCTCTCTGTGCAGCTACATTGGTTTCCTTTGATTCCTCTACTTTTTCCTCCTCATAGAAATAATATGTGATTGTATTCCAAGTATTTCATGTTTGGAAGCCTCCCATCTGTCTTGAGCCATTTTTTCCTTTTAGAACCTCAGGCCATGGGGCTTTTTCTATCTTGCATGTGATCTTTTTGAAATTTTTTTTTCCCTAAAATCTGGGGCATACATGCCCAACCTTCCCATCCTTGGATGCTATCTTCCCAATCCCTTCTATCTATCCTTCTACAATGAAGAATCTGCCAATGAAAAAATGAAAATTGTGTCAGTTTAGAATTTAATATCTCTTGGAATCACATCTAGTGGGTATCTGAGGGACACCCTCTGAGGGAGGGATGGTTATCATTCAGTGGAATGGTAGAGTTACCATTGAAATGCTGAAAGCACTAGAGTATGATGACCCAAAAGAGCTGGGAACTATTGCTTCCTTTTCTATGTCTTATATGAGATGGCTGGTGGGTTTGATGCTGACTCCTTCTTCTTCACCTCTGCCCAGATATCTGAGAGGTCTTGGATGAACTCCTGGATCTGACAAAACAAGGGAGAGAAAGAATAAATTTTTCAGCTTGTGGCAGATTTCTCTGTTGTGAAACACCTACCTATACAAAGCTGCCTCCATCCCATATGGATCATCTTCCCATGGCCTAAAATAAATGAAGTTTCTTTTTTTTTAGGCAATTGGGGTTAAGTGACTTGCCCAGGGTCACACAGTTAGTAAGCATCAAGTGTTTGGTCTGAGGTCAGATTTGAACTCAGGGCCTCCTGACTTCAGGGCCAGTGCTGTATCCACTGTGCCAACTAGCTGCCCCAGAAATGAGGTTTCTTTAGATTCTGATTAGTTAGTCAGGTTGTCTGGTTCTAACTAATTAATGTCAGGTTCTCAGGTTCTAGTTAGTGCCTAGGTCTTTGTGCAATCTGTGAGAGGTGAGATGTAGGTCCCACTGCTTCAAAATATCCTAACTCCTCTGTAGTTGAATGAGCAGCATGAAAAGGATTAGTGAAAGGATGAAATTACAATGACAATACAATAATAGTTACTTAAATCGTTATGATTATTATAGTCAGTTGTTCAGAACACAGCTAAACTATATAGAGAAAGATGGCAAAAAAAAAGTCTCTGAGCAGCTCAAATAGTTGTCACAAAGCAAATGCACAAAATTTACCCTATTTTACTCATTAGAATAATTGTCAGTCAAAATGATTGAAGCTTTGAAAGACTGAAACAGTCATTTGTAAAGATTCACTTTCTATCCTAGAGAGGCACATTCTCACTTGATACCTCGCATTTGCTTACACTTCTGACCAAGGCCAAAGGTCTTTTCTCCAAATAAAACTTTGTGTTTTGGGCCTCTTGTAGCTCTGATTTTGTGATTTTGATTTTGTGAGAATAATCAGTCTTTATTTTAAAAGTATAACAATGTTCCACACCCATCATCCCCAGTCCAGCAAAAAAGAGAGGGAAGTTGATAGTTGCTTTTCTCTGGATCAGATCATAAATATGTAGATTTATATTTAGCTCTGACAGGTACAGCAGAAGATTGTTTTTAGAAACCTGTGACAAGAAATCCCTAGCTGTGGAGGATTTATGTGTACCCAGACACAATTAATGCCATCCTAAGTTAAGTATTTTATAAGCAGGTAAGAAACAGTAAAAGTGTGCTTGTCATGGTGCTGTAAATACCCTCCCTTTCCTGATCTCCTCCAGGACTACTGAATTAGGAACTCTGGATTATCCCCAATGTCCATGACAAGACCTGGTTCTTGTAACATAAGGAAGTCCCATGAGTCTATCATCAGAAACCCCTGATGTCCTGTAAAGGGCTGTCCTTGTCCTCCTACCAGGTCCAGCTGTTTGTGGGTATCCTCCACGGCCACTTGTGTGGTGGTCTCCTTCAGCTGCTTGCTCACAATTTGGAAGAGGTTCAGGGTTGCCATCTTGATGGTGCCCAGCAGGAGAGTTTTTTTGGCAGCTGTATTCTGGATATGTGCCCATCGAGACTCCTGGAAGTAGAGAGGAGGAGGGCTAGTGAGGAAGGTGGACCAATGAATACTGAAGGCCCAGGGAGGAAGCAGGACTTGTCTAATCCTCATATAACTCACTACTGCAACCAGGCAGATCAAGAGGTAGCCTGGACTCAGTAAACCTCCCCCTTGGTCTACTTTATGCTCCTGGAGAAAGACCTCATTCTGTCTGGGATGTCTGGCAGGCTGCACTGCCCAAAAGCAAGGAGATGAATGACTTCATCCCCCTCGTTCACTCCCCTATTACCCTTTTTGTCAATGTGGGGAAGTCAAGACCAGGAGGTACAAAGGCTTAAGGCAGGCCAACAGCTGCCATGATTACCTGATTCTACTGACTATAGGATGAGGATCTGTATCTTTCTTCTCTTTGGAAGTTGGAATTATGTTCCAACCTTAAGTGGGCCAAATTCAAGAGTACAATGTTCTTGATATTGGAGTCATCATGATGTTGGCACCCAAAAGGGTGGGAGATACCACTTTCCTGAGTAGTGTGGTATAATGGAAAGGGCAATGGATTTAAAGCTGAAAGGCCTGGGTTCAAATCCCAGCTTTTCTACTTATTAACTGTGTTATGTTGGGTGTCACTTCTCTCCTATGGGCCTCAATTTCCTCATTTATAAAATGAGATGATCTCTGAGCTCTCTTCCAGCTCTGATAATCCTATGACATGAAGGACGTCTTACCCAAATGATGACATCACTCCGGGCACGGTCATACCGCATCTGCAACCTGGCAAGCTCATTGTTGTGCTGTAGGACCTCATCATCCTTTTCCTCCACATAGTGGGTAAGCCGGGCTTTGGCCTTGTCAATTTTCTCCTGCCCCTCTTGGGCTGACTGCATCAGGTCATGGTGCATACTCACCAGTGTCTTGTAGCGTCCAATAACCTCATGGATCTCCTCAAACTATATCAAGTTGGAAAGGAATAGGGATCATTGCCTTCCAGACTCATTTATTGGTCCTCTTTGAGAACAAAGGACGAACAACAACAAACTTGACAGACCCAGCTCATTTGGATTAAGGAGAAGAGTGGTGGTGATACTGTCTTACCTTGAAAAGATGGGGAGTGGGGACGAGGATTCTAATTTACCTCTCTCATTTCATCTCTTCCCATATTTGAGTCACTGAGAGTACCTAACCTGGAGCTTCTAAGCTGAGAGGACTAAGGGCTCTGGGTTCTCTTCTTTTCCCTACCAGGTTAATCATGTTCCTGCCTGGGTGGTGAGCTAGGACCACCCTGGAGCCTCTAAGTTGAGAGGACTGAGGGTTCTCCTCTTTTTTTTTTCTCTTAAGCTAATCATGCCCCTGCTTGGGTAGCGAGTTGGGCCCACCCTAGAAGGCTCCAATCAACACAGAAGGCCACAGGTTATATTATCATACATATGTATTTCAATGTATGTACAAGTCCAGATTCTCCTTCTTAACCCGTTTTTCTTCTCTACCTCACTCACATTCTTTGCCACTAGTCCTAAAAAGTGGGAATGGCCTAGGACGAGGTTTGTTAATAATGATGCACCATGGAGGTGAGGGAAACAGAGTCAGAAAACCCAAATTTGGCACTGATGGCTACTAGCTATATGACCCTGTGCAGTCATTTCACTCTCAGCCTCAGTTTCTTGCTCTGTAATACAAAGATAATACTACACTATTGAATGAGTGGGAGAGAACATGAGTGAGGTAGGGGAGAGAACACGAGTGAGGTAGAGGAGAGAGGAGGGTAAGAAGGAGAATCTAGACTTGTACATACACTGAAAGTAACCCAATTGGTGGCCCTTCTGTGTTGATTGGAGTCTTCTAGGGCAGGCCCAACTCACTACTCAGGCAGGGGCATGATTAGCTTGAGGGGGAAAAAAGGAGAACCCTTAGTCCTCTCAGCTAGAGGCTCCAGGCTGGGGACCCTCAGTGCACAAGGGGACACCAACTTGCACTCTGGCCATTATCTTCATTTCCTTCCCCACCCTCATCTTCAGGAGTCTGCTCCTGGGAACTACCTTTGGCTCTGAGAGGTTACTAATCCCAACTCCATTTCTCGCTTTGTCTTGCCAGGAACTCGAGCCCAACCTCATTTCCTAGCGACTTGATCCAAACCATGCTTCTACAAGGGTATACCTCCCCCACAGCCCAGCTTCTCTTATTGTTGGTTGTGTATTCGATTTCTCCTGTTGGAACAAGCGCTTCTCAAGGAGAGGAACTGTCTTGCTTGCTTGTATTTGTACTCCCAGTTCTTTGCACAGTGCCTGGCATATAGTAAAAGCTCAGGAAATACTCTTGCTCTATCTCTCTGTCTCTGCCTCTGTCATAGGATTTTAGAGATGGAGTCAGAGTCTATATCCCCCTTCCCCTTCCTCAATGACCTCATAAATAACATAAGGTGTTTATAGGTGCTTGAGTCAGGAGACTCGATTCTCAGTCCTAGCTTTGTCACTTATCAGCTCTATTACTTTGGGCAAGTCCATAACCCTCTCTGGACTTCTGACTGAAACAGGTGACCTTTAAGGGCCTTTTTAGAATGGACATTCTTTTAATATAATGCTTATGTTAGAATTTTGGGCACTAGGGAGAGATTTTGGAGGAGAAAATACTTTCCTTTTGGGAAGAGGAGCTGGGGTGGGGGCGGGTAGAGGCTTTCTAGTGTTTAGTGCCATATTGAACTGACTATAGGCAGTTCTTTTCCCCCAAAACTAATTTTTATAAAATAAGAGCACAGACTATAATTTTTTTAAAACCTTAGATTTTTTTTTTGAAGGAGAAGGGTTGCCTATATTATAATTCAGAGGTCTCCAAAGTGAGAGTTCCAACTTCCTATGCATCCTTTAAAAATTTATTTTGGGATGTGTTCTATAATGTACTTAATATATGAGAATAATGATACATTTATATGATATATAAGCAACAAGTAATTAAATAAATATGCATATAATGGTAATATATACTCCAGAACTTTTTCCCAAGATCTAGTATCCACTGGATCTCCTGACATTATGGGAATATCAGTGGAACACATGAATTTCCCAAGGAAAACTTTTACCATGCTACCAGCCAAATCCTGCCCTCATTTCCATCTGTGGCCTAAGTTCCCTTGCTTCTCCAAGGCCAATTGAAGGTCTTAAGGAGCAACCTATGTTACGGGGAATAAAAATGGGGACACTCTAACCTGACATAGTAAGAAGCCCAAGGTATTCACAATGTTGGGGACATCTGAGCTCAGGACCAGGTACTGTCCCTCAGTGTGAGAGCTGGAAGGAAAGATCAGCTCCAACCTGCTCTCCCCCTGCCCCCCAACCTGAGGAACACTTCAGTTAAATCCCTTACCTCAGAGTTCTCCACCACTTTCTCCAAGTACTTTTGGAATATGGAGTAGTCCTGCAGTTTGGCACTTATCCTCTGATGCTCCTGTCTCAGGGCCGCCATCTCTTGCTTAGCCCTAGCCAATTCTTTCACCCGAAGTCTCTTCAATTCTCTCTCTTTGCTGGCTTTCTTCAGAGCTCGAATTCTTTTCTGGTCATTTTCCTAGAAGAAGGCCCCAGAAGGACATGTGGGGAGCAGAGAAGGCATAGGGTCAAGCAGCTTTCTCTTGCTCCTGTGGCTGGCCTAGCAAGGGGCATAGCGTGGGGATTATTAGAATATTAGAATTGGAAGGCGCCCTTTTGGGTCAGGTAGTCCAACTTTCTGCTTAATATAGGTGGTCCTCACCCTGTTTTCTATAGCTTACCCCCAACAGGTGGTACTCCAGTCTTTCCTTGAATACCACCAGAGATGGAGAATTCATGACATTGAACCTGAATCCTAAGAGGACTTCTATGGTCTCCATTGTATAGAGAGGGTCTCTGGTACCAAAATTCCTCCATGAGATTTACTCGTTTCCCAGCCAGGCCTAGAGTGGATCCACTTATCTATAAAAGACTGTTTTCCCCTGGGGACAGCTACTTCTTAGGTCTACCCTACGATGCTGCCAAGGCCATCATTTGGATTTTGCAGAACACCTTAAAAACATTTGTTCTGCTGACAGTGGGGGAATTTGAGGCACAGAAAGTTTGAGAGGTTATAGCAACTTCCTTAGGTTCTTAGGATTTTAGAGCTGGGAAGGAGGTTTAGATTTATTTAGAGATCATTTAGTTCAAATCCTTCATTTCACAAAAGAAAAAAACAGGCACAAAGAGGGCAGTGATTTACCTAAGGTCATCATGCTCCGAATCACTGCGGATTGAGGGGCCCGAGATTGGTTAGTTAGATGTGATGATATAAAATGTAATTGTTTGTGTGCGGGGGTTAATTATATTGAAAAGTAGTTTGGGAAATTTCTGTGGATAGAATGCTTGTCACATGATGGACAGACGGGATAGATCATGGAAAAAGGATAGGAAGTAATTGATAGACCTGAATCTAAGTATTGGGTTTGCTATTTACTGGCTAGGTGACCTTGGGCAAGTAACTTTCTCTCTCTTGGCCTCAGTTTTTTCCTCTGTAAAGTAAGGGAAGGCAGCCAACTCTAAGATCTCTGAAGTCTTTCCCACCTCTGATATTGCAGCGTTCTTTGTTCTAGGTACAGGCTGCTTTCTCAATTCCCATTTTGGAAACATTGCTTGGACTTTGAGGAGATGAGGCAAGAAAGAGACCAGGAGCCTCAAAGGCTATAGAGGTATTTCTTCAGAGTGAGGCTGCTTGGATAGAAATGGGTATGAAAAGAAAACACTCTAGTTAGTGCTCTGGCCAGGAACATTCATCAGATAATGGACACCCTTCCCCATCTTCTCCACTACATCACCCAATTGAATGGGCCATCACTCTGGGCCCGCACTTTTGGGGGAGGATGGGCTGTGCATTGCTTAGACACTATTGCTTTGCCACCTCCTTACTCCTATAATGTTGATCTGTAGATCATAGGATCATAGATTGAGAGCTGGAAGTGACCTTAGAGACCACTGGGTCTTAGAGGCCATTGAGTTTTGTCCTCTCTTTTTACAGATGAGCCCCAAAGAGGTTAAATGAGTTGCAAAAGGTCACATAGGTAGTAAGTAGAATAACTGAGATTTGAACCCAGATCTTTCCACTGTACCCAATGGTTGTATCTCCACCCAACCTACTTTGGTCCTACCTCCATCTTTTCTTTCAGGTCAAGTACAAGCAGAAGAAAGTATGCTCATAAAATGTCTGGCTTATTTTCAGCAAGAACAGGACATAATTCAACCTTAAGGCTGAATTCTAAGGGGCCCAATAAGTGACCACAATTATTCCTTTCAAATAAATCAATCTGTATACTATTTCTGTACTTCAGCAGATATATAATTTCATCAATGTGGTTACCACTTCTGAGGGTGCAAATAACAACCAAGTTGAGCCTTTTTGTTCTGTATGACTCTTGTCTATGTCTTTCTATAAATCCTCCTCTGGGGGCCCATCCAATATGCTTGAGTGTATCCACTGGATTTCCTGACATTATGGGAATATCAGTGGAGCACACGAACTACCATCTGTTATCCTTTACTCTAACTACATGACCACTTTACTACACTTTCCTGTTATATTTCTCTCCATGGTGTAATCAGTACCTATTTTGCAATTAGCCTTAGGAAGTTGCTGGGGTCTCTGAGAGTTTAAGTTACTCACCCAGGGTCACACAGTCAGTAGGTGACAGAGGTAGTACTTGGGCTTAGGTCTTATTGGCTTTTTATCTACTATGTTACACCACTTCTCCAAAGGAAAATATGGATATTAAGAGGTGGACATTTATTTCAGAGAGAAGTTCGTGGGTCACTATTGCTCAGGTTTTTTCCTATCTGCAGTGGACAATAAAAATATATATGTACTGTGGGTTCAATGGGTTGGACATCCAAATGCATATTATAGTTTGGACAATAGGCAATTTTTATCCATTTGTTTTTTCCTGTATGGGGGTGGATGGGCTGTGCTATATGGATGTGCTCATCCATAGATGAGCCCCCTAAAATTGCAAAAGATCATGCAGGTAATAAGTAGTTCAGTCAGACTGAACTCTTTTGAGTGATTGTGAATGTCATTTAGGAAGCTCTACAGCATTCTGAGGCTTGAGGCAAAACATAATCTATAATTATATATATATATATATATATATATATATATATATATATATATATGAAATAGGATCACCTGGAAGATTTCATTATCTATATGGGCAATACTGCTATCTTTTGAACTGTGCACTAGATACCCTCCATGGCAATGGCTAACACCATTAGTATATGACTTCTGATTTTATGTCTCATTTAATATTAATAAAAAGGTTGTTGGAAAAAATTATGTTGTGGCATTTATCAAGGACTCATATATTTTGACATACACAGGAAAGAAAATTTTTTAAAGGAGAACCTTTGAGGCAACATAAAATGAATTTAGAATTAATAAACAAGATAAGTACAGTGAGATCTTGTATTCTCTACACTTCAACTGTGTGACTGTAAAAATGTGGTCTGTTGTATAATAGCATTTTTTAAAATCTCCCTGATTCTTTCTCAGACTCTTATCAAAGATATTCCATTCTATAGAGATAGGTAAGGATATGGGTCAGTATTTAATGATACTTTCCAAATTGTTCTTTTTCCATAATAAGCTTTATGATTTTCCCAAGCCTTTGGCATCCTATTTTTCAAATTCTCAAGAAAATCAACCCTTCAATGACCTGAGAATGGTGTCACTTTAAACTTCTGCATATGCTTGGTCTACTCCAGCTTCTCCTTCTGTCAATGTTCTCTATAGTATCATTTCTACCTAATATAAGCCAAGCAGAAAATGGGACCATCAAACATTATGATAAAAGCACAAATATGGTGGCTCTGTTGTCATTTACTGGAAAAAAAAGTTGGTTATAGAAATTTTGGCAGAGATTTTCAGTTTGTCTGTTTTGTTTTTCTTTTAGTAAATTCATTCTCTTACCAACCTTTCTATAAACTTATTTTCTCTTCTCCTTTCTCTCTGTCTTTTGAGGTGGTACTGCTCATAATCCTCCACCCTCCTATAAGATTTTACAAATGAACTTATATTCTAAACCAGTGTTGCCTATGGTTGCTTTATCTTTCTTCCTGGCAAGGAAATTAAAAATGTCTGTTATCTGAGGTAGTTTCTAGATTAGTATGATCTGCTTGTGGTGACTGATTTAAATTGACTAAATTTTGTTAAGAAATTGAAATATGTGTCAATGTTTATTCTTTTGTCTTTTTTGACCCATTTTTTGCATTAATAATTGGTTTAGCTAAGTCAGTTTTGAAGCTGCCTAAACTTCATGCCAAATCTTCTCATTTTTATAATTTATCCTCATTAGGTATTGATTTTGATCTTTGCTCTAACAAATAATGGTCTGATTGTACACAGACAGTTAATATGGAAATGACTGTCATATTGGAAATAATTAATCTCCTTTCTGATAAGATATTATTGTGGTTTTATCTGGTATTTGTCATATCTATCTAGTGCCTTCTAATTCTTTTCTTGAAGAAAGTATTCATAATATATTGGTGTCAGGTTTCAATATCATCTACAAACCTGTAACTTCTCTAATGGCTTAATCTTGAGGCAAATTTTTGCCATACTTCCCTATGTTACCTTTGCATTGAAGATACTTTAAGTGGAAGGTTTTAATGAGTTTTACATAAAATTTCTCTATCTCTTCATCCTCTACAACATAAACTGCAGTTATTTACATGGGAGTCTTTTTGTTTTTTATTCACAATTGAGTACTATAATAAGAGATAACTAAGTAACCCACGAAATTATGTTCCTTTGGATATGTGTTAAAAACCAATTCTATCAACTCTTTTATTTGTTCCATGAATACAACTTCCTTATATCTTCCGTTTTCTTTTATAGCAAGACTAGAAAGATTGTTATGATTAACTTCCTCCAAATAAGGTCATCATTGGTTACTGGATAAGAATCTCAAATTCAGAGTACTAACCAGTAAATCAATGTCTCTAACTGATCTAAAAACTGTGTGATTCTTAGCATCGTCTTCCATCATTCAGCAAGGATTTATTAGCTGCCTACTGTGTGCCATACATTGTGTTAGGTGCTACAGGCACAAAGACAAAATAAGCCTACCACCCATGAGCACAGACAAAGGTACACCAGAGTCCAGGAGATGACCCTATGCACCACCTTGGCAGTTAGTGGGAACATTACTCAGAGGACATGAACACAGGTCTTAGTAAAACCATGAAGTAGCATTAATGAACCAGGCAGCCCAAGGTATCCATCAATTCTGAGCCTGGAGCCCTATCTGCACAGCCTAAGGAACTCATTCCCACCTTTTTGCGTGTGGGGGCCAAGTTTCCCTAGCAACTCACTCTTCTTCTGGGGTGTGGCTTTCCTATCAAACTGTATACACTCAATTCCAGAGAAATATATTAAAACAAAACAAAAACCTATTCACCTCAGGTTGCCCACCCACTTTCTATGGCAATACTGCCTTGAATTTACTAGAAGTATCTTTCCAGGGATTCTTTTCTCTACCCTCCTATTTCAAATAAACTCTCATTTCTATGAATTGTATGGCTCCAAAACTCCAGCCAATTTACATCAGCAAAATTCAAATTGAGTTTATGAAATGAGATCTCCTTCTCTTTACGATTTGCCCCCTCTCATTTCCAATTTCTCTGTATGCATTCAAATAGAATTGACATGAATTCAATAACTATCTGGTTTCAATACCGTTTCAAACACATAAAAAGAAAACCAAAAGTACTGCTTCAGGAGCAATCAGTTCTAAATGTTTGCTACTCAGTCTGCAGCTCGAAAGGTTTCCTTTCCCCCTCCTCACCTTGTACTGTGCTGGGATGATTAATAGCAAGGAATAGACGAAGGCACATAGGAAGGAGCAGATCTCCTGTCCGGATCACACTGGTGGAACTCCACGGAATCTGGATAGGCAGCTGTTCCTCTGGTCAGATGGCTACCAAGAATCATCTTCATTTATTGTCCTTTTTCTGTATAACAATGCCTCTGGCCCTCAGGGTTCCTTGTGGTTTGACCACACACCTGCAAAGTCTTGGCCCTCAATGAATTTTCTACCACCACCATTCTCTATTTTTGAAGGTCAAAATCTCTCTCTCCCCCAACTGAAGAAAACTCTGTCAACTTTCCTAGAACCAGAAGAAACCAGATGAACCCTCTGTCTAGATGACAGATCTCCAATCTTCATTGACTTCTGAGAGGAGGATTACATTCAGATCATAGACTTAGAGCTGAAAGGGACGTTAGAAGCCATCAAGCCCAGCCTCCTCATTTTACAGATGAGGGACTGAACCCTTCAAATGGGCTAAGAGACTCTCCTATGGTCATACCAGGAGTAAGTAGCAGGATTTGAACAGAGGTCTTCTGACTCCTACTCCAAATCTCACTCTTTCCAACACACCATATTGCTTTCTAGCTCATCATCATCTCTTTAGATCCTAACTCCTTTATTTGTCAGCCAGTGTATTGGCTTTCCCTCCCAGCTTTGTCTTATCTGCAGATTTGATAAGCGTACCATCTGGCCCAATCCTCTAATTTACAGAGGAGAAAGAGATTTGAAATAACTTGTTCTTAAGTCACCAAGTGTCTCTTAAGTTCAGTTTTCTCCTCTCTGCATTAGGAATAATAATGTGAACACAGCAAACTCCAAAGGCTTATTTCAGGAAAAGTGCTAAAAACAAACAGTTTTGATGAACAGAGGGCAGGCCATGGAGAAGTGGACCAGAGCAGCAGAGCTAGGCAGATTCTGTGGGGACTGAATCAGATGAAGCAGCGAAGCAGCCGGAGCAAGAGATTACATGTTGTCAGATGGTAAGAAGAACACAGAAGAGATCTTTTCCTTCTCATTAACACCTTGCTTATAATACTCTCTGCGCCCCTTATGTTTATTCCATACCACCTTGTGTGCATTATAGCATTATAGCTGTTTGTGTTCTTTCTTCCCAATTAAACTATAAACTTCTAGAGAAAGAGGAGTGTCCTGTTCTTTGCTGTAACGCTACAATGCCTACCTAGCACAGGGTCCTTCCTACACTCAGTACTTGTACTCAGGTCGTCATAATTATTTGTTGAAATGTTTACTAAGGTCCTATTTTATAAAAGACACTGTTAGATCCTAGGGATACAAAGTCGAAAAAAAAAACACTCTTTGTTCTCAAGGAACATAGACTCTAGTGTGGGGAAAGAAATGTGTAGAGAAATAACTACGTCAGAAATGTACTAAGTGTTTGGGAGACGTACAACTACAGTGTTACAGAAAATCTGAAGGGTTGGCTTTTGCCTGGGTTGTGGCTGAGGGAAGGTTTTATAGAAGGTGGCACCTGAGCTGAGCCTTGTTGAAAGCAGGACTTCATTAGATAGAAGCGGTAGGAGGGAGTCCATTCCTGACATAGGGGACCATGTGAGCAAAGGAATTCAGTTTTAAAAGGTTAAGATGAGAATTGGTAGTAGTAGATCAGACTGTTTGGAACAGAATTCATTTAAGGTCTGTATTGTGAAATAAACCTAGAAAAGTCAGCTGGAGTCAGATGGTCATTGGCTTTGCATGCCAGGGTCAGGAGGCATAGGCTTTATTCTGGAGGCACAAGGTGGCCATACAAGGTTTTTGGGCAGAGGGTTGAGGTGATAAATGAGTGTATGTGGACTAGGGGGGTTGTAGCTGCTTAGATTCTTATCCATACCTGTATAAACTGTTCAAACTTCTTTATATGAGCCTTTAGTTGTGCCTCCTTGGCTCCAAGTTCCTCCCAGCGCAGATTCAGGGCCTCCATTCTCCTTTTAAATGTCTACAAGACCATATGAAAAAAGTCAGCAGAACCTCCTACTTGGGCTCATGGCTGTAAGCAGCCAAGTGTTCTCTAAGGCTCTATGTTCCACACAATCCTTGCAGATTCAGCAATTGTCTCCTTGTAAAGCCTTAAACTGCTACCAATTTCCTACCCTTGAGCATGGAGCCCCTATGCCAGAATTAATCTGAAGCTACAAGGATTTGTCTGTATTCTAGGTGGGAATGGGGGTTGAGGGAGGCAAAGGGGTTGGCTCCTTTCTCTTCTTTCATGAAGGTGAACAGGCCAAGACTCCTGTAGTTGAGGGTTTATGTCTGCCATCCCTAGTGGAATCTGGACCCATTTCAATAAAGCTTCCTCCTTTCCCTTCCACATCCCATTCCCACACACACACACACACACACACACACACACACACACACACACACACAGAGTAGGACAGCACCCTTTCCTATGCATTGCCACTTTGTCCTCTCTCTCCTCACTCAGCTTCTCTCCCTTGACTCCTCACCACGTCCCCTCTTTGGCATCACCTCACCTCCTTTTTTTCCTCCATGGCTTGATGCATCACTTTGGCCTCTTTCTTTTTCTCTAGGAGCCGGATGGATGGAGATGGTGACTGCTCCTCTGTTGAAGGGAACTTCCTGTTGCAAAGGTACCAGAAATAAAGTATGACTGCTTCTAAGGGCCTGATGGCCACTAAATGCACACACTATAGGATAACTCGGAAGTCCTGGATGAGGTAGTAATGCTGAGAGTCGGATACCCTCACTCTTATGTCAGTCATCCTTATCCTTCCCACCAGATCAGCCAAAGAAGTGGGGCAGAGGAGGGCTTTGGAATGGTGCCAGAAGTTCAAGAAGAAAGAGCAGAGAGTGGTGTGTGTGTGTGTGTGTGTGTGTGTGTGTGTTTGTGTGTGTGTGTGTGTATGTGTGTGTGAGAGAGAGAGAGAGACAGACAGACAGACAGATGAAAGAGACAGACACAGAGAAAAGAAATTACAGTTGTATATGGGGAACGGGCAAGGAATTACAATAACAAGATTTATATATATAAATGTAAATTTATATATATAAGCAATATACTATATATATGTATATGTGTGTGTATATATATATATATATATACACACATATATATATATATATAAGCAATACACAAGCAACATAAATCTTGCTGTAGGGAGTTTTGATTTTTTTTTTGCACCATAACAAAACGCTTTTTACCCTTCAGGAAAGCCTTGTATGAACTGGTGCAGAGTGAGATGAGCAGAACCAAGAGAACCATTCACACTGTGACTACAATGATGGAAAGAAAGACAACCTTAAATGACTTCAGAACACTCATCATGTCTCATGACCTTAGAAGTTTGATGATGAGACTTGCCCCCTTCTTGACAAAGAGAGGTAGTTGATAAGACACACATTTTCAGGCGTGGACCATATGTTTATTCCTCTTGCTGAAGTATATACTTATTATGATAGGGCTTCTATTTGGAAAGAAAAGGGTTAGTAGGTAGTGAGAGGGGCACAAAAACAAAAAGAAAAAAATAGCATGAATAAAACATTTAAAAATACTCAAAGACAGAAAGATGTTCACAAGGGAATACCAACAGAACAATTTCATTACTGCCTTGTTAAATGTAATAGATGCTTTTGAAAAACAAATTGTATGTAATAGAAGTTCATAACTTCACAATCTTCTTTCTTAACATATTAAAACATATTAAAATGTTTGTTTTATCGATAATTGCTAAGTTCAAAATATAAAAAAAATTTTTTAAGAGAACTGGGAGAGGGGAGAGAAAGTACCAACATAGACAGATTTTATTTTTATTTTACAGATGAGAAATCTGATACTCAAGAGAGGGGAAGTTAAGATAACAACCATGACTAGAGTATCTCCTAACTTGTACTCTAGGGTTCATTCTGCTACCACAGACTGCCTCCTGGGAATGCCTGGGAGGCTATCTTGAAGGTGATGAGGTGTGCCAAGAACCAAGGATATTGAGGGTTGGGGGTGCGGTTTGTCTGTGACTTACGTTAGCAACTCCAGCAGTCGTTCCCCATACTGCAAGCGGAAGTACTCCACCAGGTCTTCTTCTTCCATCATTCCCAGACTCATGATTGCTGATGCTCAGGGGCTAGACAAATCCTCAGGTAATATCTATGGGAAAAACCTAAGACCAAGAAAGGAAATTTTTCTGCTTAGATACTGGTTTGTTTCTAAATCCTCCTAATGTGGCTTACAAGAGCTTGCAATAAGTGATTATTTTAGAAAGTCAGTTAAAGGGGCCCCAAAACAGTTGATAGTCTCCTCTGGTAGGCTTTAGATCACTGGTCCTCAGTCAGAAGATACAGGGGATGGGGAGGTGTTTCAGGAAAGGAGAGGTTGCTTAGTAACATCTAACAGCCGTGGTTCTATGTGGTGGTAGATGGAATCTGTCTCCCTTATTCTTTGACCCTTTACCTCTGCCCTCAGCCAATTCAGATCCTACCTTCTCTATTTAGCTCATTTTAGCCCCTCCCTGGCTCCCCTTTTTCTCTTCTGATCCTGCCCTGAACTTTTGGGAACATTGAATGGTAATAACCAAGGTTGTAGAAAAGGCAATGAGAGAAGGCCGTCTTACTCCTGGTATCTGGTTTCAGCCCTATATGCCCACAACCAAATCAGAGTAGTCATCAAGAGACTTGAGACCTAGAAAGGCCTGCTGGTGGGGAAGGGGAACAGAGTGGTGCCTGTGTGGTCTCTCTTCTAAAGTGGAGCAGTTCTTAGTCCTCTTCTTCACCCTCTTAGAATCCCTACTTCCTTCAAAACTCAGCTCTAGTCAGGCACCCTTCTATATGAAACCTTTTGTCATCACCCCAGCTATTAGTCATTCTTCCACCCAAGTTACCATGTAAATATCTCCTTTATATACATTTTGAATATACTTATATATGTACAGAAGAAGAAGGTTTTTCTGGACAAAATACAGGGACAAAGTGTTCAGGCTTTGCTCTTGACAGATATGCATAATAAAAACAGGGATTTGTGCTAAGTGGGTGGAGAACACTATGTTTCCCTTCTGTTCTGACTCAAATTCATTTATAGTTAAGCCAGAGAGGATTTGAGGAGTGTGTATGATTACAGGAATCCTAAATTAGTTATCTCTAAAAGATCTTTAATTTTTAAATTATCAAGCATTTGTTTTTTTCTCCCATTTCCCACCTCCCAGGGGGAAAAAAAAGAAGGAAAAGAAAATCTTTGTAACAAAAAGCTTATCAAGCAAAACAAGTTCCTATCATTCTGCATATTAGTCCATCAACTCTGGCAGGAAGTGAGATAACATTCTTCATCACCGATCTTCTGAAATCATGGTTGATCAGAGTTCTTAAGTCTTTCAAAATAGGTCATTTTTACAATTTTGATGTTCTAGTATAAATCATTCTCATGGTTCTTCTCACTTCACTCTGTATCAGTTTATACAAGTCTTCCCAAGGTTTCCCAAAAGCATCACTTTCTTAATTTCTTACTGCATATTACTGGAATACAATAGCATTCCATTATATTCATATACCACAATTTGTTCAACCACTCTCCAATTAATGGTCACCTCATTAGTTTACAATTCTTTACCACTACAAAAAGAGTTGCTATAAATATTTTTGTATATAAAGGACCTTTTCCTTTTCCTTTGATCTCTTTGGAGCATAGACCTAGTCTGAGTCAAAGAGCATACCATTTCTAGGTCTATGCCCCAAGAGTAATTTTGGGGGCATAGTTCCAAAATACTTTCCAAAATGACTGTACCAATGCATCTAACAGCCCTAACCACAGTGCATCAAATGTACCTGTTTTCCCTTAGCCCTTTCAAGATTTGTCATTTTCCTTTTTTTTTGTCATTTTATAGATGAGTTTACCCTCACTCACATTTATAGTTGTGAATGTTAATTATGTATTTCTCTTCATCCTATTTTTTTTCCTTTTTTAGATCCCCACCCCTTCTTTTTCACAAATTCTTATCATTTCTTTCTTTTTAAGCTCCTATTCATGACTTCTCCTCTGAGCTTTGGTTTATTTTGCTTATGATTAATCCCTCTCTGAATCTACCCTCTCTCTTATTTCCACTTTTGACCTTTCCCTATTTCCTGCTATTTTCCAGTTGAGTTGAATGTATTTCTACACCAAATTCTTTGTGTATGCATGACTATGTATGTATGAGATTAATTTAGATGAAAGTAATTCCTAATCCTTCCATCTCTACCTTGTTTGCAAATTCTATTTTTACAACCTAATTGTGTGAGATAGTTTTTCCTCCTCCTTCCTCCCCCCTTTTTCCCCTAGTGTCTCCCTTTCCCTTCCCTTTCCTCTTTTCTTTTAAGACCAACAAAATATAACTATATCACTCTTAGGCCTTCTGTCTTATTTGACTCTATGACCCCTGTGAGTTCTGGGGGACATTTGTATCATTCCCACCCTATTAGAATGTAAATACTTTATCTTTAAAAATCCCCTTCTAATTGCTCACTTGTGTTTATCTTTTAATGTTTCTCTTGACTCCTGTGCTTATATTTCAAAATTCCTACTCAGTTCAGGTCTTTTCAACAAGAATGCTAGAAAATTGCCCATTTCAATGAAGGTATATTTTTCCCCTCTGTCCATTTTTTCTTTGGGTAAATTATTCTTGGTTGTAGGCTTATGTATTTTCCTATTTGGAATATTGTATTCCATACTTTCCAACTCTTTAGAGTGCTAGTTGCTAAATCTTGTGTGATAGTGGCTGTGATTTCTTGGTACCAGAACTCTTGTTTCTTGGCTGCTCACAGTATTTTTTTTTTTAAATCTGGAAACTCTGAATTTCAGCTATGACATTTCTGAGAGTTTTCATTTTGGAATTTCTTCTGGAAGTGATCAGTAGATTCTTTCTTCACTTTACATTCTTGTTCTAATATGTCTGGGCAGTTTTCTTTCTTAAAATATGAAACGCAAGCCCTTTTTTAAGTCATTGCTTTTAGGTAGTCCAATGACTATTAAATGATCTCTCCTGGATCTGTTTTCAAGGTCAGTTATTTTTTTATGGATAGTATCTTACATTTTCTTCTATTTTTTCAATCTTTTGACATTGTCTTAATATGTTTTGTTGTTTCATGGAATCATTAGCTCTGTTTGGTCCATCTAATTTTCTTTTTCAATTAAATTTTTTTTCAGGAAACAAGTTCTTTTTATTACTCTGTCCTTCACATTATCCCTCATCCAGCAAATTAAGAAAACAAAAAACAAGTCTCTCACTACATATCTACATAGTCAAGCAAAATAAGTTCCCATGTTATCCATATCCATAAATGTATATCTTTCTGTGATAGCTACTGGGAACCCAGCATGTCAGTCAGTCAACAATATTTACTAAGTACTTACTATGAGCCAAGTACTGGGAAAAGCAAAAACCAGCCCCTGACCTCAAGGAGCTTATATAATGGAGGATACACCATGTAAATAACTAGGTACCTATAAAATATATACAGAGTAGATGAAAAGTAATCTCATAGGGAAAAGTACTAGCAGTCAGAGTGAAAAGCCTTGAGCATAGGGTGGGATTTGAGTTGAGTCTTAAAGAAAGCCAGGGAAACTAAGAGGTAAAGCTCAGGGGGATCACCATTCCAGCATAGGGAAAGGCACAGAGAAAAGAGATGGAATGTTGTGTTTGAGGATCAGCAAATAGGGTGGTGTGGCAGCTAAATGGAGGATGGACTAGAGTAGGGAGAGACTTGAGGCAGTGAATCAAGACAGAAATCTTTTATTATAGTCCAGGCAAGGGTTGGCAATGGCCTAAACTAGGGTGGTAAAGAAAAAGTAATGTATGCAAGAGATATGCTGTGAAATTAGAAATAACAAGATTTGGCAACTGATTGGATATATGGGATAAGAAGTCAAGGATAACATGGAGGTTACAATCCTGTGTAATTAGGAGGATGGTAGTATCCTTAACAGTAACAGGGAAGTTCAGAAAAGGGGAAGGTTTGGGGTTCTGTTTTGGACAGGTTAAATTTTAGTCAGGTGGTGATGCTGGACTTTATCTCAGAAGAGGTAGTAAATAGTGAGGGGGAAGGCAGCAGAGAGATGTGAGAAGAGGAGGAGGTGAAAAGAGGGAGTGGTTAGTCAATCGCCTCAATAAGTAGAGGTTCTCCGTGGAGAGAGTGGGGGTTGATTGTGGTGTGGAAGTCCTGAAGTAAAAAGGAAATATTTGAAATAGTTACTGTGGAGAAAAATAAGGAATTAACCAGAAAGGAGCAGTAGGATGTCATGGGTAGTTTTATAACTGAGAAAACAAAGTCTGAGCTCTGTGATTTATTAGCAAGGCATGCAATTGCAGAACAAATTCAATTCCAATTTCTCCAAAATTCCAATTGAAAGAACAATTCCAGAACAAATGAAGTAGTCCCCTCAGTAGGCACAAGTACCCTGAAGAGAGATTTACAAGGGTTTTTGTAGTAAAGTTACTATTTTTAGCAGTTAATATTTTAAGATTTAGGGACTTTCCAGAGTTTAGGAGCTCTGTTTGGTTGCATGCACCTGCATCCTGCAGAACAATTAGTGGTACAATAATAAATTATTTCCCAAAAATCATCTGACTTATAGGAAAACTAAACTAACTTAAGAAAGTGAGATTTAGCTCCAGGAGCTGCACAAAATGTCAGTGATGATACAAAATGGAGTGGGTTTGGTTTTCTCAATTACTCCTTTTGATCCATGGGATCACTACCTATAAGCTAATTTTATAAGATTTTTAACCATGGTCATGGTTAGTCAAGTGCAATAACATGAGCCTCTCTGGGACTAACCTGGAACAGGCTTTAAAGCAGCAAAAAAAATTATAATAACTATAATTATAATTCTAAAAAGAATGATAAAGCAGAGGGCAAGATGGGCCCATTTTTCAGTGACTATCATGTCATTTCCTTGTAGTCAAGTAAACAAAGAAGAGGGATTCCTTTAAGGGCCATCTAGGGTGAGTAGTTGTGTTCCTGTTATAACTTGAATTTTTTTAAAAAAATTATTTATTTTATTTTTAATTTATGGAATAAAACAAGCATTTCTATGACATAGTACAACAGCAACAAAAAGCTGTTTGCTCATGAAACTGC